CGCTCCTGAAACATTGCCTCCTCTGCCACTCTATCTGCATGTTGTCTGACATACTCTTTAATTCAATAAGCACCCCAAAAATAAAACCGGATTTAACTCTTTGAACGTACAATAGTGGTTGTGAAGCAGAAAGTCAGTTTATTTTAGCACAATCGGTCAATTGCAGCTTCCAGTTGGCTGGAAACTGTACGTTTATGTCACTGGAATGCACTAATCACCCAAAAAATATTACCGCCACCCGGCGTGTATATGGATTTAACTCTTTGAACGTACAATAGTGGTTGTGTGAAGCAGAAAGTCAGTTTATTTAGCACAATCGGTCAATTGCAGCTTGCCGTTGGCTGGAAACTGTACGTTTATGTCACTGGAATGCACTAATCACCCAAAAAATATTACCGCCAGCCGACGTGTAAATGGATTTAACTCTTTGAACGTACAATAGTGGTTGTGAAGCAGAAAGTCAGTTTATTTTGCACAATCGGCAAACTGCAGCACCAACTGTGCACGACAGCACCACCAAAAAAAAAAAGGGTGTATGTCACTTTAAATTTTCGATTCTTTTGATAGCTGTGTCCCTGAGTAACGATTCTGTGTCCCTAAAGTCTCTGTGGCCCTAACTCTGTCCCTTAATACACACAGGTCTGTCTCTCTTGAATGACCAGAGGCTAATGGAGAATTCTAAGATGGCCGCGATTTATAGCTCCACCATTACACAGTGCTGGCTGGCTGCTGATTGGCTAATGCGATCACATGTCATGAATGCATTATGGGTCAGCGCGCCTTGTCTGCGCGCCTTCCCAGAGATCCCCGCCCCATCTTCTCTGTCCATTTTCTCCGTCGCCACACATGTCGCCGCCATTTTTGGGAAAATTCGATTCGTGCATCCGAAGTTTGCTAATCTTCGGATTCGTCGCGAATAGAATTTTTCCAAATCTTCGGAACGAATTCCACTTCGTCATGTTCGATTCGCTCATCTCTAATTTTATCTAAAGATATAGTTTTCTATTTAAGATACATTAATAATTTTAGTTTATTCAGCATGAAATGGAGCTTAGTTATGTAGCGTGAGGCTGTATATTCTGCAATATATTTACATTTTTGGTAAACTAATTCAATGAATTCAAGCTTTGCAAGCTGAGATAACATGCACTGCATTGATGCGTTCATACAATTTCACAGTCACCATGAGAAAAAACATAAAATAAAAGAATTTGAGTCTTTCCTAAATATGAGAATACAGGGTGGCTAAAAATTGATGATTATTTTTAAAAAAAAATCAAAAAAATTTTATTTAATTTTTTTTTTATTTATATTGGATTTTTTTTATTTTATCAAATTTATTTTAATAAAATGCTTTTGCAGTAAAAGTCTATCTAAAGATAGTTTTCTATGTAATATACATTAATAATTTAGTTTATTCACTATGAAATGGAGCTTAATTATGCAGCATGAGGCTGTATATTCTGCAATATTTACATTTTTGGTAAACTCATTTAATGAATGCAAGCTGACATGCACTGCATTAAAGCATTCACACAATTTCACAGTAAGTAGTTCTTCAGCTATGTGTGATGAACCCATTAACCTGCAATGTCCACTCACCTGCTGCCGCCATGTCCCTCACCTTGTTGTGTCACTACCGCATCACAAGACGTCCCATTAAAGTGAATGGGACTGTCGGTGAGTCAACGGCGGGACAGAGATAACCGTTGCTCTTTAAAAATTGATTTAAATTGAGCCTTTTCACTAGTGATTTACAGCAACTTGATTTTAAATCAAATCCACCCTGCAAAGCGATAATTTGAAATAAAGTGCTTGTCCCCCCCCACCCTGCTCATATCTAGTATGCAATGCAGGGACACAAGTGAAAGTACAATCATGGCTGAAATTCTGTACCGTGGCACGGGATGCCTACTTCAACAATATGTAGATCAGCCTTTCCTGATTTTAAATGGGTTAAAGAGGGATCCCTGGGTCCCATCTCATCCCATCCCATCATCCCATCCTCACCTGACCTGCCCTTATGCTATATATAACTGTCAATGTTTAGGTGTCTTTCCTGAGTCCTCCAATATGGCGGTGGTTGTTTCACATCCAGTACCTATTGAGGCGGCAGGGAAGGTGTTCCAAGATGGCGCCACTGGCATTTCTGGCACTGGGGAGTGACGTACTTCCCACTGATGCCTGGGCCCTCTGCCTGCACTGCTGTTTTGAAAATGTCTGTGATAATACACATGCGTGATGAGAAGCGCATAATGTCACGGTTGTATTTTGCGCATACAGCAATACATGCGTCCTTTGAGGAAAAAACTAACCCTTTCCCATGATCTCGGGGAGAAACTGTTTTTTTTTTTTTTTTTTTTTCTTCCCAACACCCACCAAATGAATGTTATTTTGTACAGCTCATGACGTCATGTGCTTCATCTCGCATGAAGATGGAAGAGAAAAAATTTAAGTGAAGAAGAAAAACTGTTAGGCAATTTCACATCAGCATGCGGAGATGCATGCTAAAGTGAGATCTAGGGGAAAGAAAAAAAACTTTAAATGTGAATGCCACCTGAATGGAAGAAGGGATTAGTTATGTAACTTAGAATATGGTTCTTTTTCTGCGTGTTTTTTTTTTTTTTTTTTTCATTTTGCTGTAACTTGCTGCTATTGTGACCTTTTAATTACTGATCTTAAGAGTGACAGCGGTCTTAACCATGTAAATCCACAGATACCGTATTTTTCGCTCCATAAGACGCACCTGACCATAAGACGCACCTAGGTTTTAGAGGCAGAAAACAGGAAAAAAAAAATTCTGAACTAATGGACTGCAGACACAGTACAGGAGATGACCAGAGACTGCGGACACAGTACAGGAGATGACCAGAGACTGCGGACACAGTACAGGAGATGACCAGAGACTGCGGACACAGTACAGGAGATGACCAGAGACTGCGGACACAGTACAGGAGATGACCAGAGACTGCGGACACAGTACAGGAGATGACCAGAGACTGCGGACACAGTACAGGAGATGACCAGAGACTGCGGACACAGTACAGGAGATGACCAGAGACTGCGGACACAGTACAGGAGATGACCAGAGACTGCGGACACAGTACAGGAGATGACCAGAGACTGCGGACACAGTACAGGAGATGACCAGAGACTGCGGACACAGTACAGGAGATGACCAGAGACTGCGGACACAGTACAGGAGATGACCAGAGACTGCGGACACAGTACAGGAGATGACCAGAGACTGCGGACACAGGACAGGAGATGACCAGAGACTGCGGACACAGGACAGGAGATGACCAGAGACTGCGAACACAGGACAGGAGATGACCAGAGACTGCGGGCACAGTACAGGAGATGACCAGAGACTGCGGGCACAGTACAGGAGATGACCAGAGACTGCGGGCACAGTACAGGAGATGACCAGAGACTGCGGGCACAGTACAGGAGATGACCAGAGACTGCGGGCACAGTACAGGAGATGACCAGAGACTGCGGGCACAGTACAGGAGATGACCAGAGACTGCGGGCACAGTACAGGAGATGACCAGAGACTGCGGGCACAGTACAGGAGATGACCAGAGACTGCGGGCACAGTACAGGAGATGACCAGAGACTGCGGGCACAGTACAGGAGATGACCAGAGACTGCGGGCACAGTACAGGAGATGACCAGAGACTGCGGGCACAGTACAGGAGATGACCAGAGACTGCGGGCACAGTACAGGAGATGACCAGAGACTGCGGGCACAGTACAGGAGATGACCAGAGACTGCGGACACAGTACAGGAGATGACCAGAGACTGCGGACACAGTACAGGAGATGACCAGAGACTGCGGACACAGTACAGGAGATGACCAGAGACTGCGGACACAGGACAGGAGATGACCAGAGACTGCGGACACAGGACAGGAGATGACCAGAGACTGCGGACACAGGACAGGAGATGACCAGAGACTGCGGACACAGGACAGGAGATGACCAGAGACTGCGGACACAGGACAGGAGATGACCAGAGACTGCGGACACAGGACAGGAGATGACCAGAGACTGCGGACACAGGACAGGAGATGACCAGAGACTGCGGACACAGGACAGGAGATGACCAGAGACTGCGGACACAGGACAGGAGATGACCAGAGACTGCGGACACAGGACAGGAGATGACCAGAGACTGCGGACACAGGACAGGAGATGACCAGAGACTGCGGACACAGGACAGGAGATGACCAGAGACTGCGGACACAGGACAGGAGATGACCAGAGACTGCGGACACAGTACAGGGATGACCAGAGACTGCGGACACAGTACAGGAGATGATCACAGACTGCGGACACAGTACAGGAGATGATCACAGACTGCGGACACAGTACAGGAGATGACTGCTGACCTTTTGGGGAAGGGGGGAGCGGGTACCTGAATTTGCCAGGTACCCGCTCTTACTTCCGCGGAGTTGTTCTTTGATCTTACCTGTTCCTCTATCCAGCGGCGCGCTGTCTACCCGACTTCTGTAGTGTGGGCGTTCGGCGAACAGCCGCATGCCCAGTGCACATGAGCAAGAAGCTCTGCGCTTTGTGATTGGTCCGGCGGCATCTGGGATCTGTCATGTGTCCCAGGTACCACCTTACCATTCACAAAGAGCACCGGTTCTTACGCATGCGCACTTGGGACCCGGCTGTCACGCACACTACAGAAGCTGGGAAGACAGCGCGCCGCTGGATAGAGGAACAGGTACGGTCTCACTGCAGAGCTGAGCGGCCGGCCCGGTATTCTGACACTGCGGCGGTGGAAATACCGGACCGGCCTCTCCATAAGACGCACTGACATTTTTCCCCCTTTTTTGGGGGGAAAAAGGTGCGTCTTATGGAGCTAAAAATACGGTAATCTGTAGAGCACCAGCCTCTTTACAGGATTTTTGTGTTATTGACAGAAGAGTGGGCTGTAACATCTACTTTACAGTCTTGTAATATTTTCCTTTTTTCTTTTTCCATGTCAGAACAATCTCGCAGGGATGATCTGGAGTCCCTCGGCTACGTGCTGATGTATTTCAACCTGGGCTCCCTGCCATGGCAAGGACTGAAAGCTGCCACCAAGAGGCAGAAATATGAACGCATCAGTGAGAAAAAGATGTCAACGCCCATTGAGGTCTTATGTAAAAGTTACCCTTGTAAGTTTTTGGCCAGGTGACGCAGAATACCTCCTGTTAATGTTGCGTTTTTTGAAACAACATAAAATTAGAGGATCTCCAGGTTTGATTGTAGAAGTCCTGGAGAATTTAACTTCATTTTATGTTTGTCCTCGTGCTTTTTATCTGCTGATCTATTTGAACTGTGGTACATGTATATGGAAACCTTTCCCTATGAAGGTGGACAGAGGCTCTCCTATATGCACAAATACTGCATTTCTGGAGGCACTTAATGAGTCCAAAGACTGCATTTGCTTTCCACTGCAGTTCAGTCGGCTGACGCATGAACACTCCCTGTGTGGCTCATATCTTATCTAACTATTCATTAAGCAAGAAAGTCCAAGCCATTTCCCTTTTAGTTTCTTATTAGCGCATATATTGAAAATGTATGTAAACCTATACAGTTTATTTCAGGTACTTATATAGCGCCGTCAATTTACACAGCGCTTTACATATATATTGTACATTCACATCAGTCCCTAACCCTCAAGGGGCGTACAATCTAAGGTCCCTAACTCACATTCATACATACACATACTAGGGCCAATTTAGACAGGAGCCAATTACCCTACCAGCATGTCTTTGGAGTGTGGGAGGAAACCGGAGCACCCGGAGGAAACCCACGCAAGCACAGGGAGAACATGCAAACTCCATGCAGGAGGCACCATGGTCAGGAATCGAACCCATGACCCACTTACTGCAAGGCAGACGTGCTAACCACTAAGCCACTGTGCCGCCCAGTTGAAAGTGTTTTATCATATCTGTTCGATAAGCGCCAAACCCCAAAAACTGTTCGTGTCAAATTTTGTGAGTTGATGACTTTCCGTACAGTCTGCCTCACCGTTATCAGGTAGCACTGTTCCCAGTGATCTACAGACCCCTCCCCCCTTGTTATGGAGATAGTGGTACAGCCAATATGCCTTTGCATGCAAAACTGCACTTTTAGGGTACATCTCCTTACCTTCTTTGCGTTGGCCAAATCTTCAGTTTGTGGCTCACACGCTAATCTTCAGGAATACTGCAGCTCACAGAGGTAGGTTGTCAGGATTTAAAGGAATTATAAAGTTTAAACATTTTTTACCTTCATGCATTTCCTGCATTAGCGTAAAAAAATATTCCGGTAGCATTATCGCCCCTTATCTTTACCTGAGTAGCTTCACTCGATCCAGCTGTAGTATATTGTAAGACAACACCAACATGGCTCTGGCTTTACTGAGGCAGTGGGAGCTATTGGCTCCTGCTGCTGTCAATCAAATCCTGTGACGAGGGTGCAAGGGGTGGGGCACAGCTGTGCTGTGTGTGTCTATGCACTCAGGCAGCACAGCACAGCACGGGATCGAGCCTGCACGTGTTACCCTCATAGAAAGCCGCTTCCTATGGGAATGCACAGAAAAGAGAAGGAGCCAGGAGCGTCAGAGGGGGGACCCCAGAAGAGGGGGATCAAGTTCCATCGCACAGAGCAGGTAAGTATAGCATGTTTGTAAAGTCTTTTTGTTTTTTAAATAATCACAGCTCTGCCAATCTGGAAAGCGGTGGTCAGGACTATATGTATGTAGCCATGCGTTGACTCGCTACCATAGGCTACATGAGGGTTACAATGCTGCTTTCTATTCTGTAGCAGTGCAACAGTTTTGTCTCTCCATTACAGGAAGCTGCTCAAGGTGGACTTTACTGGTTGGGGGAACACAGCCAATCACAATCAATCACAACCACTGAGCCAATGAGGAGAGAGTGAATGGACATACAAAGCGTGGCTTGGGGGTGAGCCCGCTCCAGTGCCCCCCATAGCAAGAGGCTTGCTATTGAGGGCACCTGGCATGGGAAGGATCAGGGCTGCTCTGTGCAAAACCATTGCACAGAGCTAGTAAAATTATAGAGAGAGAGAGATCTATCTATATCAATTGTTTTCCTTTTAGAATCGCTTTAAATTCTTGTGTCTTCTACATTATTATTATTATACAGTTTGCGCAGAGCTTTGCAAAATGAAGGTAGACATTACAGTTACAATACAATTTGGTACAAGAGGACACAGAGTGCCCGGCTCGTCAGAGCTTACAATCTAGGAGGAAGGGTTGAGTGAGGGGGGGGATGAGCTGATGGAGGAAATAAATGGCAGTTTACTAGGTAGAAGCAGGGTAGACTTCTTTAAAGAGAGAGGTTTTCAGGGATCGTCTAAAGGTGGATAGATTAGGAGACAGCCGGACAGATTGGAGTAGAGAGTTCCATTGGATGGGCCCTCACAATTCCGTACATCCAAAGGGTGTGTCCTTGATGTCCTTGAAAGTGGGTTAAATGGTGCAGGTGGTGGGTGTGGGATTTTTCAGACCAGAAGAGGAGCAGTACTAGACAAATGGATTGTGTGCCAAGGAGAGTATTGCAAACAGAGCTGCATTTCTAGACCTTATGCACTTTTTTATAAAACAAAAAAAATGTAGAGTTGTGTTTTAACCAGTAAACCAGCATATCAGTGTTCAGGTGCAGTACAGCGCTCCTGCATTAAAATGATATTTATCTTTATTTTTATTATGCCCTTTTTTTGTTCTCTCTTTTAGCTGAATTTGCCACCTACCTGAACTTCTGTAGATCTCTACGTTTCGATGACAAGCCAGACTATTCTTACTTGAGGCAGTTATTCAGGAATCTGTTCCACCGCCAAGGCTTCTCCTACGATTATGTGTTTGACTGGAACATGCTGAAATTTGTGAGTAAATAGCTGGATTGTTAGGTGTCGTGTCCCGAGTACTCATATCTGTGAGACCGCTTCAGTAGTTCCCTGCAGTTCACACTACAGAGATAGAATGTAGCATGTTCGAGATAAACCAAGCCGATTCTCCCTCATAAACATTTGGGATAGTCTCAAAGAGAATATTTATGGCCTTAAAGTGTTACTAAACCCCAACAGTAAAATCAGTCTGTAGATGCAGTAAAGCATGCTGGTTATACTCACTGTGGAACCTAAGGGGTTAATCCTCTGCATTGTGTAAAAAGGATGTTTGATCCTGTCTTCTCTGACCCTCCCCTTCTTCCACATTCCCCGTTTCATCTCCTGATAGAACGCAGCCTTGGGGACACTCTGCACATGCTCAGTTTGGTGTGTATTGCTAGAGGGTTTTGTTTTCTTGGGAGGGTGCATGTGACCAGCACAGGGCTAGTCAACACTGTCCAGACAAAGAGTCAGGGGTCATGCAGCCTTATAGGGCAGTGAGAGGAAAATGAAAACTCCTCCTGCAGTCTTTAACCAGTGCTGTGCTGGACACTGATAGACGTCACAAGACTATGTACTGCTGATGAGAAAAGGTATTTAGCAGTTTATATTTACTAAAATAATGTCATTTTCATGTTGTGTGTACTGTGGGAGACCAGATATAGTGAATGCAGGGTCCAGGGAGAGCGGAGATAGTGAATGCAGGGTCCGGGGAGAGCGGAGATAGTGAATGCAGGGTCCGGGGAGAGCGGAGTTAGTGAATGCAGGGTCCGGGGAGAGCGGAGATAGTGAATGCAGGGTCCGGGGAGAGCGGAGATAGTGAATGCAGGGTCCGGGGAGAGCGGAGATAGTGAATGCAGGGTCCGGGGACAGCGGAGATAGTGAATGCAGGGTCCGGGGACAGCGGAGATAGTGAATGCAGGGTCCGGGGACAGCGGAGATAGTGAATGCAGGGTCCGGGGACAGCGGAGATAGTGAATGCAGGGTCCGGGGACAGCGGAGATAGTGAATGCAGGGTCCGGCAGGGTCCGGGGAGACCGGGTAGAGGGAATGCAGGGTCCGGGGAGACTGGATAGAGTGAATGCAGAGTCCGGGTTTAATAACTCTTTAACCGTTGAGAACGAATCCATGTTAGGAAGTAGAGCAGCTTCCTACAGTCATCATTGATTACAACCCTGATTCATTGCTGAATGCATACTCTACAGGGCATAGGAATGTGGGGGGATGGTTACAAATACCAGGTGGGGGTACAAGGTGATATCAAATTAATCTTTGGTAGAGCTGTCCTTAAACTGAATTGTTCTGTTTTGATATGGTTAATAGACACATCAAAGAGTCAATTCTCCTGTAACTGGGGATGGTTTTAGATGGATGCTGAAGGGTTGACTCTCCCACCAACATTTTTAGTCTTGACCTTGTTCATACAGGCTTCAGCTTTTATAAGAGCATGACATGCTGCAAAATTTGAATGGCTTTGTTTAAGCAAGGCTAGAAATACTTTTCTTTTCTTTAGTTGCAAGCTTGCAGGCTGTTTATTACAGAAGAGACTTGCAGTGTGTCTCCTGCAATACAATATACTTACCTGCCTGCTTGCAGTCTTCCTTAGACTGTACACTGAGCATCGTATGAGTAGCTCGGTATATATTCCAGCCTGTATGCCGGAATGACTGAACTCCTGGGCATGCCTGGGAGTTGCATCATTGCCTGCTGGCCAATCAAGATGGCAAAAGACTGGCACCCTGAAGAGGCCAGGGAGAACATGTCAATGTCTGCGCTTTAGAACGAAAGTATTGCAGACTTTAATTCCACTTTAAGCCTGGGTTCTCACTATGCGGTGTGGGACACTGCATGTAATTCGCACAGGAATAGCACCGCGTTCCTGTGCGAATTACATGCAAATGTCTGTGCGGTGCGATTTGAGCCCTGCATTTTGTATGTCTCCAATCATATCCGCACCAAAAAGGTGCAAGACCCTTTTTTAAATCCACACCTGAATCGCATCACATGGGTATTCTCACCCATGTAATGTGATTTTCTGGCAATCAATCTGTTTTTTGCGATCTGATTCGGGGTGTCGTTTTAATTTATCATTGACACCCGCACCAGACTGCATGAACGCGATGCAATTGCAGTGCAGTGTGAACAACGCACAGGATCGCAGCTTTTCCCGGTGTGAACCCGGGCTAAAGCCTTTAAAGCAATTTGGGAAGGGTAAACGTGGTTCCTATAATGGAATGAAGAACACCGACTTATTTGTTTCCAATCAAGGCATGCTGTGAAGAACTGTCATAGTTACCAGTGTGCTTGTTGGCTCTCAACCGAACTGTCAGACCATGAAATGGCTGGTGTCTGGGTCATATGTACTGCAGCATGCCAACTGCAATTCACACAAAGGCTAAGATGACAGCTTATTTGTAAAGTATAGGAGGGTTTAGTACCACTTTATGTCCCCGGTTACACTGGGTGCAAATTAGTATGCAGTTTGTATGCCATGCGACTTGCAAGTCGCACCCTATTGTCCAATTACAGCGGTCATACCGGTGTGGTTCTGATTTGGTCGGAGCCAAACTGATTTCTAAAGTAGAACATGCAATACTTTTGGTGTGATTTGCATAGACATCTGTGTACTGATTATAATCCTGATCCATGAAAAATGTGCACATGCTTTGCAAAATCTTTCTGTAAACACTGTTATTAAACAGGCTGATGTCTGTGTGAACAAAGCCTTATGCAGGCCATAGACGGGTGAAATTCTGCCGATTTTTCGCCCAACAGAAAAATCGTCCGATCTCCGTACCGTGCATGGCTTAGTTCGTCGGACGTTTTTCGTGTTTTTTCCTCCTTTTGGATTATCGTTCGTGTTGGGAAATGTTTGTAAAACTGCCGATTATCAGCGCATTGATGGTCAAACTGTACGATCTTTTTGACGAAAATGTAAAGCGCATGTGCAGTGACCTGGAAAGAAACCAGTCTTTTGCAGACGAAATTTCGTTTCCGGGACAGCCTGTCAAAAGTTCCAACATGTAAAGAGAACCATTATTGCATGTTCTCCTGTGTTAATGGCTTTGGTTTTTCATGTAGAGAACAAGAATCCGCCACGGTTAATGCACGGAGCATAGAGTACCCCACAAAAGAACGGAAATATGTCCATTATCAACATTTGTAAAAAGGTTATGCATTATAGCTTATGCCTAAAAACATTTACAGTCATATACTTTTACAGCAACACTGCCTTATTGATGCATTTTGTCAGTATCCAAAATCGCATTTTTCTTTTTTTACCAAAAAAATATCAAATTCAGAAAACATAAAGTATCTTTTGTACAATATAAAATAATAAGTTTGCATTGCATACATATATTTATACATAAATATTGTTGAATGGTACAGACCTTCCATAAAGAGGACATAATAGACAACAACCACAATGTGTTCAATCACATTCTAGTATTGAGATACATTATACATATTCAAAGGTAATAAAGGTCACGAAATGACATTTCCTTTAAGAGGTTGGGATTTTCACGGTTAAATCGCCCGAGTTTTGTAATCAATGGTGGTTACGTCGGATATAAGACCGACCGATATTTTGTTTATCAGACGGAAAAACTGACAAATTTCGTGCCATCTATGGCCTGCATTAGAGACACTGGTGACTTTTCCCCATGTGACAGTTCTAGCAGCCAATCCTTGGGCCCGTGCAACATATTATCGGGGGGAGTTACGTCACCACTACCATTACAGTCCAACACCTTGGATTTGCATTCTGGCTGCTGCAGTAGCGTGCTAATGAATTGGGTCAGGTCAGGCCCTTTTATATACAGCCTGTCGCTTTGCCCAGCATAGGATACACAGTGATAAAGTCCTAGGATGCAAATGTACAAATAAACCACAACTCTGTGCTGTTTTTCTTTCTTTCTCTCGCTTAGGGGGCAAGTCGTGCTGCTGAAGATGCAGAACGCGAACGGAGAGAGCGAGAAGAGCGTCTAAGACACACACGGAACCCCGCAGCCCGAGGCCTGCCCTCCACTGCTTCAGGTAGACTAAGAGGCACCCAGGAAGTCACTCCACCAACTCCACTCACTCCAACCTCTCACACAGGTACGGTGGGGCCACTGCCATCTCTCTGTTGTATGGTTGGACTATTATTAAAATCTGGAGGAAAATAATGTTCTATTCATAACAATTGTGGTTTTTTGTTTGTTTTGTTTTGTTTGTTTGTTTTTTTTGTATGTTTTTTTTTTGTTTTGTTATGTATTTTCTTTGTTTTTGTTTTTTTTTTGTATGTTTTTTTGTTTTGTGATGTATTTTCTTTGTTTTTTTTTTTTTGTATGTTTTTTTTGTTTTTTTTTTGTTCTGTTATGTATTTTCTTTGTTTTTGTGTTTTGTTTTTTTTGGAGGGGGGGGGGGTCATATACATGAAGGGTTGGGCCTAAGAGGAGATTTGATTGAAGGCTTTAAGCCTGTTGAAGCTGAATAGGTCCTTTAATACAGTGTTGTTCCCTCCTTAGGGCTAGGCTGATCAAAGGAAACTCTCGGTGTAGGTGAATGTTTACCAGCTTTCTCCCAATCCCCTATGGCAGACTGTAAACCTATTTAATTATGTGTAACTCATGTTTTGACGACCCCTAAAAATGTTTATCTGTGAAAGTTTTTCATAGAGCAAGCTTTTTCTGCAGAGATCTCGCTCTCCCCAGTGGCAAAGCAGCCCTGATTAAAAGGGAGGGCAGAGTGCAGTGGACAAGGCAGGGGAGTCTGTGAAGAAACAAACACTGCTCTCTTTAGCCATGTCTAAAAAAAAAAATAGCATAACTGCTACACCCCCGACTACCCTCAGGTTCAAGAAAACTTGTACAGAGTCATCTACGTTTCCTTAACCTCTTCACGCCGGCCACACACAAATGTGCGGCCTCCTGGCTTCTGGGCCTAGACGCCGAGCGGCCGCACATTTGCGTTCTATTAAAAAAAGGACATATGTGCCAAGAGTGCGCACTCCCAGCACACATGTCTGGTACTCACGGAAAGGTCCCGATCTCCTCTTTCGATCGGGACCTTTTCCGATCATGTGACCACCGTGACGGCGCGTCATGGCGGTCACATGCCTCTAAACCCCGCCTCCCAGCTTCTAGAACCCTTAAAGGGCTGAAGGGGTTAATGGGGACCGGCTTCCCTTAAAGCAACATGCTATTGTTGGCCTCGCAGAATTCTATCCTCCCATCCAGAGTGTTTTTGGCTCTCCAGATTTCTAGATTTAAGTGGACCTCAAGTCAAAAGTGTGAACATTTTCTTTTTTGTATGGGATGTTTTAAAGCATCTGCCATTCTTTTAATAAAAGGACACATACCTGTCTAAAGATCCAGCAGTCTCATCACTCGGGCTGGTTCTGTGCCAGTCTTTGGGTCCCTGGTGCCGGCATGTTTACTGTGGAAAGTCGCCTGTGACCGCGGCTTTACTGCCAGCTCCCTCTTGCGCTGTGTGAATGATCCAGCAGCTTCCTAGGACTTCTGACATGTCCCAGGAGGTTGCGGTCAGGGCCGATTCCAGCAGTAGTGAGACCAGGTAGCTGCCAAAACTAGGTACTTGCTTTCCCTCAAAGGTTCCAAAACCTTTAGCGGAGGGGTGAGGAGGATATAAAACCGAACTTCCCTTTTTAGGTGAAGTTCTAGTTTGTGTTTAAGCAGTACCCTGAAATTTCTCCTGTAAAATAGCCGGGTACTCCTGTGCCATGAGCCCTTATAGCTGGATATTTGAGGTCATCCATAGCACTGCTGCTCCTGACTGCTAGCTCCACAGGATCTGTAGTGAGATTTGGTGTTGTCACTACTGTGCTGCTCACTGGTCTTCTTGCTGGAGAGAAGGACCCTTGCATTCATTGGATCTGTGCTTGTGGCACCTCTCCTGCTGCTTCTTGCTCATTATCCAACCAGTCCAGTCCTCGGGGCAGCTCGACAGGAGGAAGCAAATCCTTGTTCCTGCTGCTTCTTGCTCATCCAACCAGTCCAGTCCTCGGGGCAGCTCGACAGGAGCAAGCAAATCCCTGTTCTTCATGAAGATGGCCGCCTCCATACAAACCATGCAGAACAAGGCATGGTAAGTCAGTAATGGAAAATAGATCAGCTACAGCAGGGGTGTCAAACTGGCGGCCCTACAGCTGTTGCGAAACTACAAGTCCCATCATGCCTCTGCCTTTGGGAGCCATGCTTGTAACTGTCAATCTTGCAATGCCTCATGGGACTTGTAGTTTGGCAACAGCTGGAGGCAGTGGTGTATTTAGGTTTCGTGCTGCCCTAGGCAATACAAAAATTGGCTCCCCTCCCGACGTCAGGGAGAGACCCTGACGTTGATCAACAACACCCCACCCGAGAGAGCCTTCCACTAACACCGCCTGCCCCCCCCCCTTCCTCCATACACTGGCAACCCCTCCCATCCCGGCAGGAGATAAGACACTCACCTTCACAGCTCCGGACATCCCCGGGAACAAGAGTCAGGCTCTGCGTACACCATCAAGCTGCCCGCAGCCTCTCTCTCAGATCCCACCTGGTCTCCGTGCTGCATATGTCCCGTCTTCCTTTCCTTCTTTCGGGGGACAGCCCTGAAAAATGCTGCTGCCCCCCTGAAAAATGCCGCCCTAGGCAAATGCCTTGTTTGCCTTGTGGTAAATATACCCCTGGCTGGAGGGCCGCCAGTTTGACACCCGTGAGCTACAGGGAGACCACAGGCAATATCGGGGACTAGTTCTTTGCCTTCCGCTTGCCTGTTTTTGCCACAGCTTGCATGGTTCAGGCTATTTTTAATCTACTTCCTTTGACAGCATAGCTATATATAGCACTGTAGTAAAATGTGGACCTTGGTAAGATCTTTTGAATTTGGGTTCATTTAACATGCCCTGCCTCTTAAAATCTGTTACAGCAAACACTTCACCACGACCTGTTTCTGGTATGGAACGCGAGCGCAAAGTCAGCATGAGGTTACATCGTGGCGCTCCTGTTAACGTGTCGTCATCTGATCTTACCGGCAGACAAGATACCTCCCGCATGTCAACCTCACAGGTACAGCCTGAGATCCTCTGGGGCTGAAGGGAATAACTTGCTTCTGCTTCTAAGCTTGCTGCCAGCAATGCTGTCCTCTCTTAATTTTATTTTCAGGGGCAATATAAATGCTGCGGGTAGTCTCTCCATCTTTGTGCACAGTTAAATCCGTTCATGGGAGGAGCAAATGAGGCCATCAAACATGTTCAGAAAACGCAAAGACTCTCCTGCAAACCAGAACACAACTTTTTCCTGTGCTGGTTTTGTGATATGCAGCTTATCATGAAGTCATCACCCTTTAGAAGAGCCTCTGAGGCTTTTTTTTTATTTTTTCTGGGAAAAATCGGGAGCTGTTGCCCATAATGGCCATTAAAAAAAAAAAAAAAAAAAACCTTGATTCATTTTCCCTATGCAAGCCAGGGAGTGATAGTTGAAGCCTGATTAGTTTTTAGTTGTCATTTGTTGCATTTTTTTTTCTTTGCTGCATTCAAATATATAAAACCCAGTCTGCTTAAACATAATTGTCACCTTCTCAGCCACTCCCATGAAAGCCATGGACAGCACTGCCTTGCATACCAAATTTACCATATGTGTCTAGTATAAGCGCATGGGGATGCAAATAGTAATGCTTCAGATTATGGCCATGAGAACATCAAACGGCATTGCTTATGGAGAGGTTTTCCAGGAAAAAGTAAACTTACAGACATTCATGATCTGGCCACTAAACAATCTTTGTAATGGAAGATTATGGTGCAGATGTGCCTATTAGACAGCTTCCATCTCTAAATGAGCAGTCAAGTCTGGCCTATTGACTTGGGGTAGTGGACATCTGGTGTGGTTGGGAAGGACATCAGCACTTCAGTTAGGTGATGGTACTTTTTGTATGTACCTTACATAGAACCACTTAGTCCATTTTTCCCTTTTTTTGTTACTTGCACCATACCCACCTGTCAATTGTCATCACATTGTACATACATGGCAAGGTTTATATGTAAGGCCTAAATCTCTTGTATAATACATGCATGCTGTGAACTGACACTGCTTTACATGGCAGAGTGTCTGCCTTTATCTCTCGCTCATAGACTCTGCATTGATGTGTTCCCAATCTGCTCTATTGTTGCTTAGTGTGACATTAAAATACATAAGCACATGTAAAGCACCTCCAATAAACAAAAGGAAAGGCATGAAATAAACTCCCCCCCACTTAGATGGAAAAATGTTAACTCTTTACTGGGAAACCTTGAAATAGCATTCTTGCTAAAGCCTTACTAATCTTAAAAATGCCCCCTCCCCCTCCCAACATCTATACTTTACAAAGTGTTAAAAAAAAAATTGATATATATAACCATTTTCAGCCCACTTCAGTCCGGTCACATGATCTGACTCTTCTGTGTCATCCAGCGGCGGCGACATTGTAGAGAAGGGGCCACTGACAATGGCTGCACCATGGGATCCTATGGTGAATGTCATCGCTGCCGGCTTTCACAGCCGTTGTCGGGCTCTTTCTCCATTCTCCTGCAGCTGATACAGGGGATCACATGAGTAGACTGGAGCGTGCTGAGAATAGGCAAGTATATACAGGGGTTAGACAAAAAAATGGAAACGCTACATGATATGCTGGTGTGAAATTGATGACATGTTTCGTGTTGAAAGTGGAAGTGATGTAACATTCCTTTGCTTCCGCTGTGTGATAAGACACCTAGCAAATAGGTTGGAAGCCTCACTTTCGCCATTCACTGCGTGCGCTGCTAGTAATACGGAGTCATGTCAGAGCTTACTGAGCTTCAAAGAGGGCAAATTGTTGGTGCACTTCGCTGGTGCCTCTGGCTGAAGTTGACAATTTATTTGCCCTTGTCATGAGGAACAGTATCAAAAGTTATGACGGCATATACAGTTTCTGGTAAAATGTCGCCTGACAAGCAATAGCGCAGTCAACATGGTCAACTGACCGAAAGAGACAAAAGGACATTGCGCAGGATTGTGACCTGGAATAAAAAAAAAAAACCTGCTGCAAAAGTGACTGCAGAGCTCAGTCTGTCTTCACGGGATTGAGATTGAGCTCTGCAGTCACTTTTGCAGAAGTTGTTTACTTATTCCAGGTCACAATCATGCGCAATGTCCTTTTGTCTCTTTCGGTCAGTTGACCATGTCCGACCATGCTTATGCTTATCAGATGGCGTTTTCCCATAAACTGCATACGCCGTCATAACCTTTGATACTGTACCTCCCGACATGGCAAATAAATTGGCAACTTCAGTCACAGAGGTACCAGCTAAGTGGCACCAACAAAATGTATAAAATGTGCAGCGCTCAAATAAATTACAATAAAAAGATAAATATAAAAAAAAAAGCATCGTGGATAATAAATCGTAAATAATAGAAAAAGTTCATAAAGTGACTAAAGTGCTCCGAGAAATCCTGCGTCCTCTATAATTCGGTGCTTGTGCGATCTAGTATGGAAGAAATGCGCACTCACCAGAGCGCAAAATATAATGCACCTTTTGTATAATATATCCTGATGTCATCAAGGTCATCTGAAATGGGGCTCCCTCTCTGGAGGCTGGATACTGGGTTGTCTGAAAATTAATTAATCCAGAGAGGGAGCTTCCTGTACACCTGGTGAGCTGCACCCATCCATCCCTTTAAGGGGACTCTGGCATTCCTTTGGTCTACACCTAAAGCCCCTGGATCCATATATTCTGTGAAGGAGTCATCCCCATTCCTGCCCCATTTCAGATGACCTTGATGACATCAGGATATATTGTACAAAAGCGCACTCCAGTGAGTGTGCATTTCTTCCATACTAGATCGCACAAGCACCGAATTAGAGAACGCAGGATTCCTAGGAGCACTTTAGTCACTTTATGAACTTTTATTATTTACTATTTATTATCCACGATGTTTTTTATATTTTTTTATTGTAATTTATTTGAGCGCTGCACATTTTATACATTTTGATCTTTTTGAGGTTTGTTTTGGTTACCTTATTGCATAGCGGATGATTGCTTCTTTGTGCGCTCGCATTTATTATTCTTAAGTGGCACCAACAATTTGCCCTCCGTTTTACTAGCAGCGCACGCAGTGAATGGCGAAAGTGAGACTTCCCGCCTGTTAGCTAGGTGTCTCATCACACAGCGGAAGTAAAAGAATGTTGCATCATTTCCGCTTTCAACGTAAAGCACGTCGTCAATTTCACACCTGCAAATCACGTAGAGTTTCCATTTTTCTTGTCTAACACCTGTACATCTTTAAACCGGTTAGTAAGTATAGATGTTAGGAGAAGACGGAACATTCTAAAGACTAGTTAGGCTTTAGCTAGAATTCTACATTAAAGATGTTTGGTGCAAGCATAGCCTGTGTCCCTTTTTAGTTATGCAGTTAGAAGCCCCTGTGTCCTTGGTTATGGGACATGCTGGAACTTGTAGTGCTTTGGCAACTCAGGGGCTGTATATCATAACTGTTTTCAAACTGTTTGCATCCCCAGTGAGTGCATGTGACACAGCCCATTATTCTTCATACGGTAGATTTAGAGTGAGAATCTGAGGGTGTGGGCCGGGTACATGGTATGGTGACATGAGCATGCTATGGGAGGCTGGGGTAGGGATACGTTGCTAGCAGCAATGATGGGATCTCCTGAGGAACTCCATTCACACATGTATGTTGTGGTAAAACATGGAGCCTCTCAGAGATCCTCCAATCCTCAGCCACTGCTTCACACTTCCTTCTGGCTGGCGCTCTGTGGGTGTATTGCTAAAACACAAAGCGAATGTACATCTTGCTCACAGCAAACTGCTGGGTTGTTGGGACAGTGACAAGCGGCTGTCTTTTCCCCACCTCAGAATAGCATTCCTTTCGAACATCATGGCAAGTAGCTGCTCGCCCCATTCTCGGCTGAAGGCAGCATTGGGTGAGTCTTGTTTAGAAAGCATCCCTATGAACTGCAGCCATTTCACCTTTAAAACGATGCACATTTAAGTCCAGTGATACATTTTCAAAGATACACACTTTAAAAGATATCTAAACCTAAGAACAGAATTGTATTATGTGGCAGCTTACCAGTCCGTGGTGTGGACTCATCGGAGACCTGAGGGATTGCTCCATCCTTGCTATACAGCACGGATGGACAAATCTGTCATTGGGCCTATTGGACCCTCAACAGCCGCTGCAGGCAGAATACTCAAACAGTGGCTGTATCTGATTGGTTGTAGCTGCTCTTTGTCCGAAAAGTTTCCATCTGAGTGGTAGGGGTCTTACGTCCTGTTGGACCCCTACCACTCAGATGGAAAATCTTCGGGCAAAGAACAGCTGCATCCAATCAGATGCAGCCACTGTTTGCGTGTTTTGCCTGCAGCTGCTCTTGGAGTCCATTAGTCCCAGTGGTACCCACATAGCAAATGTACTGATGAAACAGCTGAAATTCAGAGCGTGTTCAACTTAGGCACATTTGCTACAAATACAGATGCTGGTTTATCCTTCACTGAATTGAAATATCAAACAACCTTTCCAGTTTTTGCAGCAGTCTTCTGTGTACTACAAAATAATGCCTCCCTATGTGATTGAGTACGGGAGGTTTATAGTACAGACTAGATGCGTCACCTAGGATGACAACGCTAGGCCTCCACAGAGCCATGAGTAAGCGTTGTCACCCTAGGACAAAAAGTGTTACTGGCAGGATAATTGGCTGAAAACCAATAGGGAAAAAAACACCTAAAAACAAATGCAGCCACCCCATCTAGGGACTGGTAAGCTGCAATATATTATGTTTTAGTTTTTGGGCTAAAGTGGAATTCTAGCCAAAATCTAACGCGAAACCTACTCCTAGCCCAATTCTAAGCCTAGTCTATCCCTGTATAGAAAAGATCACTATACTTGTCTATTCTGAAGCTGGTCCGGGCCCATGATGAGCTGTCAGCGGAGGCTTCTGTATAGAGCAGAGGCAGCTGACAACACATGCCCCATAATAAGTCTATGGGTGACGTCATCAGCTATTCATTTCCCAGCTGTTGTCGGCTTTCTCTCTG